GGCCTTCTGCTGCTGCAGCATTTTAAATGTGAGAGTATTAGACTGACATTCATTTGCTCCTTTTTTTAATTGTTTGTAGCTGCATGCCTGCTGCACTGTATCGAGAATAGTGTTGGTGAGCTCAGCAGAAGCGAGAGGGTAGGCCTTGGGGTTTATCTCTTTGTCTGCTGTCATCTTGATTAAGATATAAAAAGTATTTTAGTTTTTATTTATTTTATTAATATTAAAAAAAAACGAAAAAGAAATGAAGAAATACACGAAAAGATAAAGAAGAACGCAGAGAAAAAATATACTGCTGTGGGGAGAGGAGGAGGGGGGCTCAGCGCTCTAAACAGGGCAGCCAACCACTGTTTTCATCACGTCTCAATAAAAGAATAAATTAAATAATATTTCATTTGTTTTTAATATTTAAAATTCCGAGAAAAAAGGGAAAAACTATACAAAACATTGCTGAGGTCACAAGCAGCCAGCCCCGCAGCAGCCCCAACTGCTCCTGCTGCTAGCTGCATGCACTGCAGCAGCGGGACGAGTTGCAGCAGCTTCATTAGTTCAAGCAGCTGCTTGTGTGGATGCAGCTGCATGCGCTGGAGCTGCTGCCTGCGCTGCAGCAGCTGCACGAGTTCAAGCAGCTGCATGCGCTGTGTTGCTTACTCCGTCTACAGTATAACGCTGGTTCTCTGCCCTTTATCTAGGACAGAGGAGAGCCGCAATGTAGGTAAAGATTCACACCAAGAGTTCCCCGCATGCAGCTGGCCCCCGTCCCCTGACCCCAGGCATCCTGGGCGTTGAGCTCAGGGCCTGGGTGTTGGGGGAGGAGGCAGCCAGAAGTGGGGTTGCAGCGCATGCTGCTGCTGCTGGTAGCACAAGCCAGCCCCACGNGGGGAGGAGGCAGCCAGAAGTGGGGTTGCAGCGCATGCTGCTGCTGCTGGTAGCACAAGCCAGCCCCACGTGTGCATGCAAGGAAGCTTCACCGAAGCTTCCTTTGCTGCATGCTTTACCTCTGAATGCACTTGTAGAACGTTTGCAGGCGTTTACACGCAGCATGCCAGAACCAAGTGACAGCTTCTGCACTAACTCTTGCTACATAAAGTTAGCACTGAACATTCACTTGGCCTTGGTGGGTTGCATGCAAGCAAATACAGACGCTATGCGAGTGTATACAGAGGTAACACACTTAGTAAAAGAAGATTCGTCGAAGATTCCTTGTGCATACACCTGAGATGGGCTTGGATCGCCAGCTGCATCAACGTGCACTGCAACTCGAGTTGGGCTTCCTCCCCCCAGCAGCCCAAGGCCCCGAGCGGAACTCCCAGAATGCCTAGAGACAGGGGAGGGAAGCTAGCAGCTTTGGTAAAACTCTTAAGTCTAGTTTTTGGCCCTGTTGACGCTCGCATCTTTCCTTGAATGAGGCCAGGAAGCAAACGTTACACTCTGCATCAGCTGCATGAATTCAAACAGCTGCGCGAGTGGGAGCCGCGGCGTGGGATGAAGCAGCTGCATGCTGTGAAGCACCTACATCTGCTGCAGAAGCTGCACGACCAGCTGCACGTGCTGCAGTAGCTGCATGCGCTGAAGCTGCCGCATGCGCTGCAGCAGCTGCAATAGTTCAAGCAGATGCATGAGTGGAGAGAGCTGCATGAATTGAAGCAGTTGCATCTGCTTTTATTTAGTGCATCTGGCAGCTCTTCCTTCAAGTATTACCGCTTCTGCTGTTCTTCGGTTACTAGCTGCATTGAACCCCGCAAAAGTTCTGCGTGTACGCAACCATCATGGAGGACTGCATGCACTTCTCTCCCGCTTCTGGCAGAGCCCGTGGTGAACAGCTCACT